TACTATTCTATTTTGCACTTATATAGTTGCGTAAGCTTCTATGAATTGCTATTTACTTACATACATACTTTTCCCAAACATACTACATATATACTTACCATAAAACTACACACATATTTAGTTATTTAATTATAAGAATTAATTATAAGAGAAATTAGAGTAAGAGAAACATCAGCTTTTAATAAGAGAAGTTAGAAGTAAGCTTCATATGAATTAGGTTTAGAATAATTAAAACGAATAAAATGAATTGAGTTCTTATTCAGACACTAAACGCGTGAACCTGATACACATAAACTGAATACAGAACAATTAAATACTATTAATGTTATTTCAACATTAAAATGGTACCGAAACCCGGGATTAAGGAATACAAATCCCTCACGTAAATATATGTAATTGCATTAATTTGATATAAGTAACACGCTGAAAAGAGGTGCTCCTCTTTCCAAACACTTTGCCAAATCACGACCACGTGAAAGGCTTCTAATTATTACAATCTACAGCTTGCTTCAATTTGAAGAAAATGGAATGTGTGAGTACATACTGCTATTGAAGATCAACGACGGATACATGCGCACCTCAGTAGGCTGATGGTAAGCTACGACAGAAAACCATCCGAGGAAAAGACGAGCGGTTATGTCCAAAGTTTGCTCACCGAAGTTGACACCACCTACCAAAACTTCAAAGTTAGCCACGATAAAATCATCGAAACCTTACGTAACAACTCAATACCAGAAAAGACGTTCCCTATTTATCTGATGATGTGTTTTACACATGCTACGATTTGTATATTTCACTTAAATCAAAGCTGATCGACCTTCAGCTCGAAATTAGCAACCCAGTTTCGCCAGCTGTTCACGCGAGCACCTTCGCGATGGTGAACTCTAGGAACGACACCATTACCTCAGCTGCCCGTTTTCCAAAAATCGGACTTCCCACATTCTCGGGAGATTACCTAGAATGGACTCCATTCCGCGATATATTCCTGCCCTTAGTTCACAACAACGCAGCTCTAACCGAGGTTCAAAAGTATTTCTATTTAAAAGGTTCCTGCACGGGTACTCCACAGGAAATGGTAGATGAGTATCCCGCAGCTGACGCCAGCTATGCACTTGCATGGTCCGCCTTAGTAAGCAGGTATCATAATAAACGAAAATTGGTTGATGAACTTTAAAAAAAAAAAACTCTTTAACGCACCGCATACCGATGGAGGCTTACAAAGTATAAAAAATCTTCTTGATTTGACACGGAATTGTTTAGCACTCTTAAAAACGGTAGACGTAAACACTTCTGGTTGGGATCCATTACTTATTTTTGTACTCACTAAGAAACTTGATAAACAAACACGAAAAGAGTGGGAGCATTCGTTGAATGGAAGTAATAACATTCCTCCGGTGCAAAGTTTTCTTAAATTCCTTGAAAATACCTATCGTGCTCTAGAGTTTGTTGAAGGAGATGATGCGACGAAAATGGTTATATCCGTTGGTCGTGAACATAAAAGTAAAGTACAGAACAAACAACGACGACTGCTTCATGCAAATACAACATCTACAGATTCTACTTCAGCAAACTCCATCTGCCCCTGTTTCAGAAGCATCATCAGTTGTACAAATGCTTCAAGTTTGCGGCGCTCGCGGCAGCTGAAAAGAAACACTTCGTTTTGCAAAACAAATTATGCTTGAACTGTAAGGGTAACACCTACAGTGAATGCGGAATTAACTCTCGGTGCCAGGAGTGCAAACAGGCTCATCATACTATACTACATACCGCTTTTACACTCAATGGTTCCAACTACTCTCATGCTGGTCACATAAACTCAAACTTATCACTTTGTACAAACGGTGTACCGTTAACAATCAAGCAGCTGCACTCAACCTCAAGAAAAATAATGTTAACGTCTCTGTTAGTGGTATTGGGGGTATTCCAGGCATACCTGCTAGAAAATTAGTAAAACTCACTTTGCACTCTTACTACGAGAAGGAGTTTTCGATTGACTGCCAATTATTCGTTTTAACAAAAATTACTTCATATAAACCAAGTCCAATCAATTTAAACAATTTACCTAAATTGTCTGATATACACACCTCGCAGACCCTACTGTTTCTTCGCCAGATGACATCGATATAATTATTTGATGTGTTATTTATGGGGATATCCTGCTAACTGATATGCGAAAATAAAAAAGAGGAATCTTACTACAGGAAACCCATTTTGGTTGGATGATATCCGGCCCTACTAGTAAAAGATTTGCTCCAGACTTAATACATTCAAATTTATGTACACATGACGACACACTTAAGTTGTTTTGGGAACAGGAAGAATTATTTGTTGAACGACAACTCAGCCCGGAAGAAATTGCATTCGAAAAACTATTCCTAGAAACCCATACCAGAGATGATAATGGACGATATACGGTACATCTCCCTTTTAAGACTCTATTTACTAACGGTACGCTGCCGTCATTTACCGGCACTCACCTAAATGCCGTAAGAAGACTTAAGTAACTTGAAAGCCATTTCAAATCCAATACGAAGTTTGCGTTATTGTACAAAGAATTTTTATCCGACTACGAATCTCTGGGCCACATGCAAAAGATAGGTGAGTACCCAAGAGATGTGCAAGAAAACTCTTATTTCTTTTGTCACCATGGTGTTTTCAGAAACAGCAAACACTACAACTAAATTAAGAGTTGTATTTGATGGAGGAAATGGTCGACCAAAAAATATTTCTCTCAACGAAGAGCTCGCTTCTGGTCCGCCTTTGCAGAACGACCTACCCAGTATAATTACTCGTTGGCGTTGTCATAAAATTGCATTTACAGACGATTTGGAGAAAATGTTTCGCCAAGTAATGGTTTGCGATGAACATCAGAAATTTCAGTGTATTTTGTGGAGAGATGATGTAAGAAAGAACATCAGCATCTATAAATTGCGCACTGTTACGTATGGCACTACCTCAGCTTCGTATTTAGCCATACGTGTTCTTCGTCAATTAGCACGTGATGAAAACTCTGAATTCCCTCTCGCAAGCAATATATTTCTGAACGACAGCTATGTGGATGACATAACATCAGGCACTGATTCCATAACAGATACAATAGAGTTACACCAGCAGTTAAGTAACCTTTCTAAACGTGGCGGATTCAATTTGAGAAAATGGAATTCAAACTCGAATGAATTGATGAACGTTATCCCTCCTGAAAACCGCGATAACGCTGATGCTTATAAATTGAAAGATGAGAACTTTGTCAAAGCTTTAGGCCTTTATTGGGAAATAAGCGAGGATCACTTATGCTTTAAACTTAACTTCAGTTTCGCTTCTACGGTAACCAAAGGTAGTATGCTATCGGACGCGGCGAAGCTGTTTGATCCTCTGGGATGGCTAGCGCCGGTTACTATCGTAGCCAAATTATGTTTCAACGTTTGTGGAAAGAAAATTTTGATATCGTGACTCGTTAAAAAATCTGGAAAGCATCAAAATTTTAAGATGGCTTAGCATCTATAAGATGAGTAAAATCTGATTGCATGGATTTAGCGATGACTCTTCGTTAGCGTATGCAGCAATAGTGTACGCAGTGCTTCACTATGAGAAAAGCGCAACTTCATTTCTAATTCAGTCCAAAACTAAGGTGGCGCCGCTAAAGACTGTCTCGATTCCGAGATTGCAATTGTGTGCAGCAACATTGTTAGTTAAACTCATGGCAAAGGTTAAGCGCTATTTCGATAGTGAACTGTGCAACATTCATTATTGGACGGATAGTATGGTGTCTTAGGTTGGATACGAAGTTGCTCAACACGATGGTGGTTTATGTAGCTAACAGACTTGCAGAAATTCAACGTTGTTCCACCGTAGATCAGTGGCGATACATACCTACAAGCCAGAACCCTTCTGACTGTTTGACGAGAGGATTAGCATCAAATGAGCTTATAACGTACACTTTGTGGTTGAGTGGACCACAATGGCTTATCGCAAACGAAAGTGGATGGCCTACTTCTAAAACTGAATTCGACACTAATTTAGAGCAACAAAAGTCCCACATCGCTACACATGTTGGTGTTTCGGAGACGACATATCCCAACTTTATATTCAGGTTTTCTTCGTTTTCACGACTTAAACGTGTAACAGCTTAC